CATAATTCGTCATAATCAATCATCAATTTCAAGTTTAGAAGAAAACCCATTTTGTAGAGAAAAATCCTTGAAATTGGGTAATTTAGAAATCAACTTTGAATGACCACTTGGGGAAAGGGATCTCAAGAGTAAAAAAATTCATACCTTATGAAATCTTAATCGATAAAATTTGAGTAGAAACTTGGGGAATTAGATTTTCTTCAATGGAGGTTGAATATAAAGAGAAAGTAGAGAGAGGTGAGAGCTTTTGGGTTTTGATTTGGTTATTTGATTTGAGTGAGTGAATGTGAGGTAAAACTGATTGAAAATCAATATGTAACCCTCCCATAAATACCCAAAAGACCCCTCACTTAATTTGACCTTCTAGTAAAGTCAAACTCGATTTCTAAATTTCAGATTTTCATCGGGAAATAAGTTCGCATCACGGAGCTGTTATCGCAAGATTTCCGAATTTAATTTTGGAGACAGTGGACGTTTTCACCCTATAAACATGATTTTACCTATTTAAAGTGATTTTACAAGTTTTAGACTTCATACAATACTCCCAAACCTTCACAAAACCTAAGGACGTTTACTAGTTCAAATGCACTAGTTTTCGGACGTCTTGGTCGTCTCATAACGTTTAAGCTCTACTTCCTACTTAGTTTCAATACATTAGTTTAGATTAGAAACATTGTTTTAAGGTTTGGTTCATCATGTGAGGCTCTAGACTAAGTCATGAACTTTTGAAGTGTTACAAGTTGAGTCCAAAACTCTACAAAAAGAACACATCTCTTCAACTAATAAGAACTTTCTTTTTTGAATAACTTTTATGCACTCTTGTGTGTAGTAAAACTAAATGAAGATCACCACTATTTATACTAGAAAAAGTCTTCCTAACAATAAATAGAAAGATAATAGTGTAATAAATAGTGAAGATAATGATCTTATGAACTACATAGGTTACATGAATAATGGAGTAAAGAATGAAATAAAGTTGAGGACACTACATGCAGATGCCAACGTTCCATTGACAACGTTCAGAAAGCAATATGCCTTATGCCTCTGGTCATTAATTGACCATGAGTAATTAGACACAAATGCCATACATTTTAGCAAAGACTTATATGAATATGTACAATATATTTGTATAATATTAAAATGGTCACACCAACATAATATCAACAGAAAATATAAACTTCTAATCAAAAACAAAAATGTATGGTTTAATATTTTATTTTAATTTTTCACTCACTATATTAGTTTGACTAAATTTAAATTCACATTTAAAAGTTTCACATCTAAGGTAAAGAGCTTCTTAACACATCTAAAAGTTTCACATTGAGGATAAAGAGCTTCCTCACAAAGACAACTTCATATCCTAACATTTTGATAATCGATTAGTAGACATTGTACTCTTCTTTTAATTAGAGTATATATTTTTGGTCAAAATTTGGATTAAGAAATAACATTTCCATGTCCCTTTTTAGGTACAAAATGTAAGCAAAAGTGTATCTTTGATGAACAAGCCAAAAACTTTTCTTTTAAGTAAGAATATAAGAGAAACTAAAAAACTCTTTTCTCCTCATTTTCGAAGTTCTTTTTCTAGGTGAAACTTTTATTTTATTTATATTCTTGTTTTTATTATGAAATTATAAAAGGTATAAGAATATTAGAGCATATAAGACACAATTATTTTTTATTTTATTTTATTCTAACTTTTTGATAAGTCGTCATTTCTTATCTTGTGGAATTAATTTTTATTTATTATTTTTTATTACAAAATTGAGACTGCACTTAAATTTGTGATAATTTCTAAGTTCTTTGATAACTGGATGTTAATACAAACTCATATTTCTAAAGTTAATTCTTATGAAAGTATTCTTATTTTTTATTAAATTCATTTATAGAATTCAATTTGTATGTACAAACATGAAAAATCATTAATTCCCTTCTATCTAAACTAAATCTATAATAACAAAAAGAATATTTCAATAATTAACTTATGTTATTTATGCAGAGTATGAAGCATGAAAATATATAAGCTAATTTAAGAATAGGTTGATCTAAGAGCAGGTCAATTGAGTAAATTAAAAGACGTCATATATGTGATGTGACTTATTTGATAGAATATTCTCCGATGGATGTAACATATGATCTAATTTCTCAATTTTAAAAATTGAATTTGCATACTCAACAACTTTTTCTCTTTTATTAGGTATAATGTAATAAATATATATGCATTTTGTAAGTGCTCTTTTTTGTTTGGTTTTAACTTTGGGAGTTTAAAAATTTGTAAGTACTAAATCGATATACCCTAAATTAGTTACTTTAAATTATTCGTCCACTCTCTCTATCTCTTAAATACAAATCTTTTAAGTAATTTGTAAATCTATTAACTTCAAAAACATATTTTTAAATTTTAATTAATTTTATCAAGTACAGTTAATAATAAGATGCACAAATGATAACATTTTTATTGATATTTTGATAATTAAATTTTGAATAACGTATATTTATTTATAAGAAATAAAAACATAATTAACTTTTAATAGGTTAGTTAACTCATTCATTTTGAAACTTGTGGGATGTTTCACGTATAAAAATCATACTATAACAATCAAAGTGACTTGAAATTTTCATATTAATTTTGTAAGTAGAATTATGAATTTTTTTTATTTAAATTGAATAGATATGGTGAGTTAAGAATATATACCAAAAGTAGTTAATAGCATTTATATATTACTATAAAGTCCAGTAAATACTATTTTAGTGCTTGCATTGAATATTTTTTTTCCTCATAAATTTGTTTAGTTTGTATATCTAAAATGAGATAAAAAGACAATAAAAAGGAGAAATATTAATGCCGGTGACCTCACCTCTTTTATTTCTAGCTATACTATTATATAAAGATTTTATAGAAATTAAGTTTTAGGTTTTTGAAATTTTTGAGGAAATTATAGAATCATTAAATGTTAAATAAAATGAATGAAGAGTTAAAATTAAATATATTTTCAATTTTCACGTATAAAAATTATTTTGTAAATTTATTGAGATATCTCGTAACAGCTTTCGCGCAACCTTTTTCACTAGTTATATTGATAAGGTTAGGTTAGTCGATATTGTTGAGTACACATTTTTCATACTCACTTTATTACACCTTTTAAGAGCAGGTTTTGTTTTAAGTGGCTATAGTAATTAGTAGGTGAGTTACAGTTTGTTGGATCTTTATTGGAGTGTTTGAGATAACTGGCTCTTTATTGGAGTGTTTGAGATAACTGGCTCCAAACTCCTTTCTATCTTTTATATATTTATGTTTTTTTCGACCGTTATTGTATTACTCCAATACTTATAGTGGTATTCTAGAAGCTATTAGATTTTTGACGCCTTATTTTGAAATTATTGCTTAATATATTCGAAGTTCAAATGGGGTGAGTGGAAAGGATGAATTAAGGGGAAGGCGTGGGTGCTCCAACTCCTAAAAAGGTGTGATCACACACCCCTTATAATAAAATTGTTAACATGTCGTCAACTTTCTATTGTTAGGCGTGGTGCACCCAACACCTTTACCCATTTTGGTTTCTTTCTAATTTTTGTTATCTTTTTGGAAATTTTGATTAAAAATATGCAACTTTAGGCTTCGGAGTCTCAAAACCACACATTTTTTAAAACAAAAACCTGAATTCTTTACCGCTATACGATATACAAGATGAGTCATAAGTGAACTACTTTTCTAACGTAGATAATATATATATATATATATATATATATATATATTAGATCATAGTAGTCAAGTATTTCTTTTATGCTTTTCTTTTTCACTCCACAAATGCTCTACACCATGCTTAGGGGAACCATGACATTAATAACTCATTTCATTTGCGAAACAAAGCAATACAAATATGATCCGATATTAGGGGCGTCAAATGAAATGATTGGATTGAAATTAAAGATACTAAAATGGATTGAAATACAAAATCAGGTTGAGTTTTGACACATCCATACTTATTTTGGGCTCAAATGAGCTTTAAAATGAGTTGCATCCTCACCAGCCGAACTGGACTAGCTTAATTTCAATAATTTAATATATTTTTGTTTAAATTTTATAGCCACAATTGAATTTTAAATAGATAAGTTTTAAAGTAGATAGCAATTCATATATTCATTATATGAACATACATTACATCATTGCAAATAAAGATTTTTAAATGGGTAGAAATTGAATTTAATTGATGGTTCTTTTAAAATGAATTAACGCTTGAATGTGTTAAAATTGACCCCAATTCAAATTATCTTAAGTCATCTATCTTAAGTCAACCCGAGCGACTTTAAGACATGCTTTGTCACTTTTCCCAACATGCAAAGTGAACAAATCATGTAGGTAGACCACCCCACCTCCACAAATTCATAGACTATTCACCAGTACAACTGTGTCTACAAAAGTTTAGTTTAATCAAATGGTATGTACTCTTTGAATGTTGCACTCCTATTTGCCTAAAACGATTTCAAAAGGGCTCATTTTTATTGCAGACGACTTGTGCAGATTGTAACAAAACTGCATAATATCTAACAATGCAACCCAATTCTGTTGACTTGCTGACACGTAGGGCCTCAAATATTCTTTCAACAAGTGATTAATCCTTTCCATTTGTCCATCTGTTTTCTGCCGCATAGTGTCACTCAGCCTATTTCACTCACGTTTTTTACCAAGTATAGAAAGACTTAAAGACAACAAACTTGAACAATGAACAAACGCTTTACAGGAACTCTTCCTAACCTTTATTAATCATAAAATCATTACAAGGAAAAATACCAGAATTTCAACTCAGGCATTAGTTAGTTTGTCTTCACCAGATGACCACTTATACAGGAGAACAACATAATCATATTTTCTTGGAATCAATAGCATAGAGCCTCTTGAGTGCTCATGATGGGTGAAAATTTTCAAATCTACATGGTTGTATAAATTCAACAATGCCCTCACATTAAACATTCATTAGTAACTTTGACAAAAGATATTAGCACAACTATTGATTTTGATATGATTGATTTAATTAATTAATAAAATCAACCAGCCACTGATTTTGATTTCTCACAAGTACAACAACGGATACAATTCACGACAAAGGGGCAAATATAATACAATGATACAACACATTGTGCAAAGATAAGCACCGTATAGAGTTACAAGTTTACAACTACAAAATTTAGAAAGGAAAAAAAAACAGAGTATCTTTCTTCCTAGTTGCTCAAAAACTTGCTGCTTATTGTTAACTTTTTTATTGGTTCGTACTAAAGAGAATGTCAATGGCCATAAATAATGCACCTATAGCGAAAGTAAAGGTTTATATTTATATTTTTCCCTTTCTCTTCTCATCCAATGCCTGCAAAAAAGTGGGGTACAACTTAGGCATCAATTTCATGAATCTGTAGCACCATATACAAGTCACTAAGAAAGTTAGGTTCACCTTAACCTATAAAATTGTAAGAAAAATATCAGACATCTTTTCTATGGTAAAGTAATCAATATATCAAATTTTATTACTTCAAGCTGAATCATAAGAGTAAAATATGATCACCACACTATAAAATCTTGGTCAGTCAATACTCATGTTTTTTATGTATGCAAGCTTTTATATAGTACTTCCTCCCTTCCCTTTACTTTTTACATTATGCTAACTACTCCTTCAGTCCCTAATTATTTGTCAACTTTTCAATTGACACACCTATTAAGCAAACAATAATTGACATAGTGAGTTTACCATATTACCCGCATTAATTATCAAGTAGGTGAACTAAAAATTTAAGATTTTCAAGAAGTTCTACCTTTTTCAAAATAATTAATTGATGGTATAATAGGTAAAAAAAAATGTCCTTTCTTGGTTTATCAAAATGGGACAAGTAATTAGGGACAACTAAAAAACAAAAAGTGGACAAGTAATTAGGAACAGAGTGGGAATAAAAAATTTCTTGTTACTTGTCCATTTTAGTAAACCAAGAGACAACAAATTATACTTCTAATTTTACCCTTATCTTTAAGTGACTATTTCACAAATTTATTGGAGTACTAGTAGTCAAATTTAATTTTCAAAGAATAGTTAATACTGCCTCCATTCACTCTTACTTGTCACTTTTGATATATCAAGAAAAAACAATAATTTTTTCCATGTTTTAACTCAACATTAGATACTTATTTTCCAAATCATTTTTTTAAGACGTCATTTTATATGGGGGTTATTTGATAAAATACCTATATCATAAATATTTTCTTAATGAGTGTGCCAAGTAAAACTGTGACAAGTACAGTAAACACAAGAAGTAAGAGTAACTTAATAAAACAAAAAGTTAATTAATAACTTTTTTAAAGGAATGCAAAATGCATACGAAGCAAGTAAAACGGAACTAGGAGAGTACAATCCAATAGAAAAAACACACTTAAAACATTCGGTGCATGCTTTAGACATAATTTATCAAAGTTTGTTGAATTTTGCAACAATTCTATCTATAAGCTTAAATTGATGAGAGAGAACACTTATATTTTACTTGAAATGTAATGATCCGAAAGGTAATTTTTGGAAGTTTTCTAAAACAATTACCATTTCCCCATCCTGATAGTTTCCCTGACTCATTTCTGATCAGTTTGTGAAGTTGATTTTCAAATTTGAGTAAAAGATTGTTATTTTTGCAGTTTTGAAGTAATCGATTTCAAATTTGTATTTTTTCATAGACTTAAATTGGAAGTTGATGTGATTTTAGTCCTTTAGTTGACTTTGGTCAACATTTGGAGTTCGGATGCTCAGATCAGATTTTCGACGGTTCAATTGGATGCGGAGGATGATTTTAGGCGTAAGAGAGATCTTGGTTGAATTTTCAGAGGTCTCAAATTTTAGGCGTTATGCCAGTTATCTGCAACAGTCTTCTCAAATTTTAGGCATTATGATCCCTCGCCTCGCCTCGTCGTCAAAGGCGAAAGGTGAGTGCCTTTCATAACATTGGTTGAATACAACTCTGTTTTCGAAATGGTTTTCACCCGTAGTTTCCAAATGTTTCGGTTAACAAAATTTTATATTAAATTTTGTATTTACCCCTCATTTTCAAAATCGTGTTTTTGGGTCAATTTTACCTGGTTTTCCAAAGTAATTGATATGGGTGTTGTTGGATTCAAATTCTTATTTTGATTCCATTATTGAATAAACTTTATTGATTTGGAAACCCAATGAAGAGCAAAGGATCAAATGCCATAGTGATTGTTTGACTAAATTGAGGCAAGTGTTCTTCTAAACTTTTGTTAAGTATGTAGAATCTTGTATTTCCTTATTATGTGTATTGGGGAATAATAGGAATTGGCTATGAGTTTGACTTTTTCATATTGAATGATCCTAATGATTATAAAAGGGGTGATAAAAAGGCCATTTGATTACATATATTGATGTGTGTAGTGTTGTTGATGATTTGATTGGTGATATTGACTCATTATAGACAATGTGTCATGATTGTGTTGATATGAATTGTGTGTTGCTATGGACATCATACTCTCATGAATTGTGTGAACATGCCTCTTTTGCATTGGTCTAGAGCGTTGAGATGAGATCTATTCTGATAATTATATGGCAAGGGGAAATGGTTCCGACTGATATATGGGTTGTGTGCATCCGACATGGGTTTCAATCTGAGCCTCAACAAATATGTATCGTTAGGAAAGACTTGCATCACCTTACTTGGCATTTCATTGCACATCATTTATCATTTCTGAACTTATGAGTACTCCTTTTGTTACCTTGTGATTGATGAACTTCAGGTTGATGTTAATGATTTGTACCATTGGAGTGTTGCTATTGGGCTATGGGTTACGTGCATTGTGAACTATTAGGTTGGGCAAATATATGTGTAGGTTGTAGTTTCAAAGGTTTGGTTGGATAGGAGTACATGCATTCGATATTGCTTTACCTGGTGTTTCGTAGTTTGCTTGCAGTATCATGTTCTGGTACTCACTCCTTGTTCCTACACTAGTGTCAGATTACAAGCGCTGATTTTATTCTACTCAACAAACAATGTCATTTAAGACTTGCATATTCTTCACCTTTATTGCAATACATTAGTGACTTGTTCACGTGACGAACATGTTTTTTTGGGAATACTATTAGTTTGATTAAGTTATATGCATGTTTTGTTATATTGAGATTTCATTTTGCTTTATTTCTGAGTTTATTTATTTAATCAGGGTTTAGGCAAACTTGACTTGGCAGCACAAGGCAAGTGCAATCACATCCATTTTTGGGTCGTGACAAATGGTATCAAAACCCATGTTTGTAGGTCTCACGTGTATATGAGTCATGTCTAAATAGAGTCTCGAGGATCAATACAGAGACATTTGTACTTATCTTTGGGAGGCTATGAAGGTTGTTTGGAAACTTCCTTTTTATTCATTCTTTCTTATCGTGTGCTTAGCTATTTCTGAGGTGTGGCACATTCTTTCGGCATATGGTGAGGACTAGAGCTACTATTGCTGGTGGTAAAGGGGAGGAATGTTGAGACCCCAACAAGGTTGGGGTTAGGTACTGGTGTTTATTTAAAAATAGGACAGCTAAAAGAATTGATTGAAATATCTCAAAATGGATTGAAATGACTTTCAACAGTTTTCAAAAAACTTAGTTAGCATCTAGGGGCTTTAAATAGCCAAACATAAAACACATAATTTGCATAATTTAAAACTTAAAACAATATAAAATATCTCAACAACTGAAACAACCTAACTAAAATTCAAAATTTAAATTATCTTAAACTAAACAACTGATTTTGATAAAAACAATTACAGTAACTTAAAGAGAATCTCAACCCTCCTCCTTTGCTTTAGTTACTGCAATTTTTAAAACTGCTCCTCAATTTTTGATCTAGCAATTGATGCTGAATTTCTCTTGAATAGTATTGAACTTGCATATTTTCTGGATATCGATGATCTTTCTCTCTTTCTTTTTTCTTCTTTTCATTTTGATCTTCAAAAACAACTTCCATGACATTGTGGTTTTATTTGGACAATTGTAGGATTCTCAAAGTATTATTGTTAACCTATTTTTCTTCCACAACAACACATAAGATATAGGCTATAAAATATGATTTCATTTTCATTAACCAAATCTTATAGTTTGTCCGTGAAACTTCTTTGGGCATTCAAAGAAAGACTACTGCTTGCCCTTTTTTTAGGTTAAAAAAACCTTGCGCTAGAAAAGAATACCAATTGAAAATGGTAGCCCTACAGGTTAAAATGGGTAGCCCTAACTAGTTAAAAAGATAGCCTTTGCAGGTTAAAGGAGTAGTCCTTACGCGTTGAAAATTTGGTAGTTCTTTGGAAGATTTCACAAATCCAGTAAGATCATGGGGAAGCAAAAAGAATTGATTGAAATCTCTCAATGGGTTGAAATGACTTTTGATTTCAATAATTTTATTAAGCATTCAAGGTCTTTAAATAGCCAACATAAAACACTTCCTCTCTATCCAGTCTTCATTTAGCGTCGAGAGGTAAGCCCGTATCAACATTCGTGAGGTGGTTCGTCTTCATGGTGTGCCGATTTCCATTTTATCAAATAAGGGTGCTTAGTTTACTTCTAGCTTCTAGACGACTTTCTAGGATGAGTTGGGCACTCGCCTTGACTTTAGCACACTCTCACCCGTAGACTAATGGTCAGTTGAAGCGTACTATCCAGGTCCTTGAGGACATGTTGCGGGCTTGTGTCCTAGAGTTTTGAGGTCAGCTGGACCAATTCTTTCCTTTTGCGAAGTTTGCGTACAACAACTATGATTCTAGCATCTAGATTGCCTCATTTGAGGCTTTATATGGTAGGCGTTATCGCTCTCTAATTAGTCGGTTTGATTCTACAAAGACTAGACCGTATGGTACAAACTTTAATCAGAAGGCTTAAGAGCGGGTGAGGGTGATTCATGATAGACTTCGAACAACTTAGAGCAAGCACAAAAGTTATGTTTGTCATAGGTGACAACCTTTGAGATTTGCAGTTGGTGTTAAGAGTGTTTCTTCAAAAGTCACCCGAGGCGGGGCAAGCTTTCTTGCTTGGTCGGCCTGTGATGCCTATTGAGTACCTTTGTTTTGGTACTTATACTACACTCTACATCTTTTCGTGATGCATGTCCTATTACCATCTACCAGCGGTGATTGTTCGTGCCTTCTTTTGTAGCTTGTGGATATGCTCGACCAGTCTGCCTCCTTCTGTTCATATGTTAGCTTGTCTTTTGCCTTTGAGACAACTTGTTGTGGTCCACTTTTGGGACTTGTATTTATTTTGTTAGACAGCTCTGTACTCGTGAATTCCAGATCTGGGATGGGAGGATATCTACTCGTCGTTCTAGGTATGGGTTAACTCACCTACTAGTGGGTTTATGTGCCATCATGACTAGAGGGATCGGGTCGTGACACAAAATTCGAAAAGATAAAAAAAGTGACCATATTGGTCAAAAGGTGCAAATAGCACAGGTTGAAGATAAACAAGGGAAGATTGCTTCACATGATTTTGTCATGTACAACTTCTCCACTTGTCTATAAATATGATACCATGGCGAGTGAAGATGTTAAAAGAAGACGATGTAGACCTAAAATAAGATGAAGGAAGTCATCTTGGAAGACCTATAGTTTCTTCGAATCCATGCAGCGTTAAGCCACAACTAGAAAAAATATATACATGTGATACCAATTACTTCAGGAAATGGTTATCATGTCAGTACATTCACTTCAAGTCCTAGTGCTTTCTAGTTGTTCTTTTAACCTTATCTCAGAACTTTGTGGCGATCAGCAATATACAACTTCTAATATGATTTTTCTTTATTTTGTATCAAGTTGGTCTAAAATGAATTTATATGGAGAACATGATCATTAGCATTCATATAGAAAACACCAACTTGTGTGGGATTTAAGTGTAATTGTACTTGTATACATTAGAGAAAAAGCTTTAGCAAATAATAAAAAGGGTAGTAGTTTAGTGCAGTCTAGGAAAGCAACACAAGTTTCCATGGACAACAAAGGTTCTAGACTTAAGTAGATTTATGCTAAAAACTGTCAAATTGATGTCAGCATCGGAATACAGTAAGACTCAAACATGTTAACAAAGATTCGATGCCCAATTCCCACACTTCCTAGAATTTTGCCAAGTATCAATATAGAGGAAGCTTCGTAGTTTAAGTTGTACGATACAATTTAGATGTGAAAAATGATTAGTAAATCGAGAAATAGTAGTAAATCATATGAGATAGCTAATTAAAAAGAAAGAATTTAAGTTTCAAACCTCATATTTCAGAATATCGTAAGGAAAACAATACCTTGCTCTGGAAAATTCTCATCGTCAGCACAAGAGAGTCACGCATTCTACAGAGCAATAAGAAAGAAGCAATTTAAATTTCAATAATCAAAGAACAAAGAGAATTAAAATCTGATTCAACAGTAATATAGTAACTAAGGAATATGTTCCCCATACCAAATTCTTAAGTAACAAAAAATAACCCAAGAACGCAGCACCAAAAGTGATAACAGCTGAATCCGCCTTTTTTTTTAAAAAAAAATGATAAATGAAAAACTGCCTCTCCATGAAGTTTACAACTCAATATACCTTATCCAAAAATAAAAAATAGAGTACACAACTTAATATCAAGAAATTACTAACTATTAGATGAAACCTAGGTGTTTCTAATACTCTAGCTACAGATTATAAGAGAAGGAACAATTAGGTTAAGTGCAGTAGGATTATACATATAGCCGCTGACAAACAACTTACAACCGGAACAATCATTGCAGAGAACCAGATCTGGAACAGCACTTGCAGAATAATTAATAAATGATTATACGGTATGAATATGAGAATTTTTTTTCATTCATTTACATTATACAGAACATATAGGGGGTGCAATTTTACCTACATATTATGTGGGATAAATTATACAGAACATATAGGGGGTGCCATTTTACCTAACATATTATGTGATCCCAAAGCACCTTTAGAAAAGTAACTTAGATGAGATGACAAAATCCTAATCTCTTCAACACAATCTATCAGTGTTCATATATGTTTTGATGTGGATATTACCCCTGAATTAGAAATTCTCCTAAACCAAGAATTTACGATTCAATACCATTTCAATGGCTTTCTTACAACTTACGTTTTGTGTGACTAAGTTGAACCTATTAAGCAAAAAACTTACAAGAAGTTATATGCCCTGTGTCTGATTACATTGTTATAGGACAACAGACAATTTTTAATCTCATGTGATTTCAACCCCCAAAAAAATGGTAAGTTAAAAGGAATAGGTTTAGTACCTTATATCGTTATTTGTACTGAAGGGATGTGAAGACCCATCAGAACATGTGATAACAAACTGTGTTGATAGCCCACTTGGAATTTTGATCTGCACATAGAATATTCTGAATTACACTTAAATGTTTGACAATAGATCAAGTAAATAGTACAAATTTCAACTCTGTAGATTCAAGAACTTTACCACCAAACAGTAAAGCCTGTATTCAATATATTTGCTTCAATTTGTAAGAATTGATCCCCCTCACACCCACCTACTCTAAGAACGAGAAACTTACCCATCCTTTGATCAATAATGGTGTCTTAAACATTTTTAAATTACTAATTATTGCTTCATATGATTTTCACTAGGAAATTCAAGAACAATATGACTCAACCACCATAAATGAGCTTATTACGCTTGCTTCTACTATTATTACTACAGATTCTTCCATTCCTCTTTTTAGTATGAGCCATATTAACTTATCAATTATTAGTTAATGTCCCACAGAACATAATTAGTTGGTTACATCCTCTACAACAAGAAATCATAATATAATGTGTTAATCGCTCCAACTAATGGAATATCACGACACAGCTCGTTGGTTACATCTCCTTCCTCCCTACAACTACAAATCATAAACTAATGGTTAAACGCTCCAACTAATGGACTGGTACGACAGTCAACATCATTGAGCCCCAGCAGGTTATATGATGATTCAATTACTAAAGCTGAGCTTAATTGTGTTATTACATCTTTTCAAGATGTATGAAAGAGAATTAAATTCAGGATGCAACCAATAGCTTCTTTCCAATGGAAATTCGGTGAGCTAACCGGAAGTCAAATGCCAAGATAACAGTCTACCAAGTCTAGAGCTTCACATCTTAAGCCAGTCCCTTTTTTTCCCTATAAGAAAGAAAAAGCCCATTTTGTCTTCCAAAGCTGACAGTGATCACTTCAACAGTATTTGTAAATCTCACTTAGATGAGGCAAAATTAACCCATAAAATATAACCAATAACACTAATTAAAGAATTCTAGATGTTTTTGTTGAATGAGTTGGCAGATTTAGTCATAAACTGCTCCACCATGAGCTGGCAGAATTGATTGTAATCTGCTCTAAATATGTGATTCAAATATATTATTCTAGGAAAATAGTTTAGAATCCCTTGATTCAAGGATTTCCTAAGAATTAGGGATTGTTTAGTTTGTTTGGTCATTGCTTGTTCTTATAAATATTGTACAAACACAACGAATAAAATATACTTTTGCAGTACCTAAACTTCGATGGTATCAGAGCGGGACTTTTTCCCCTAATATCATAGGGATAAAATAGCCTTTCATAGAGAGCATCTTTCTAACTTTCTTCGCTGGAAGCTCCTGCAGAAAATCTCATGACCCAAGGAGGCAATGCTTCTCACATGCCGTTCCAGTTAACTTCTTTTTTGATAAGGAAAAAAAAAGTAGTTAATGGGAAGAACTATCTGGAATGGGCACACAGTCCGTAAAACTGGCAATCGATGGCCGTGGAAACTTGGGGCATCTGACCGAAGAGACGAAAAAGCCAGGAGTTGGAGACCCAAAGATGAACTCCTGGAGATCAGAGAATTCATTCGTGATTGCTTGGTCAATAAGATCCATGAAAGCAGTCATAGCTAAATCTTTTCTCTTTTTGCCACGGCTAAGGATGTGTGGGAAGCACTTAGGGAGACATATTCTAATGTAGAAAACGCCTCTCAAATTTTTGAGTTAAAAATTAAACTATGGCAAGCTAAGGGGGGTGAGAATGAAGTCACTACTTATCATAATGAAATAATGTCCTTGTGGCAGGAGTTAGACCAATGTTACAATGATGAATGAGAGTGCTCTGTGGATAGTGTGGAAGCAAAAAAAAAAAGGGAAATTTTCTTTTTTGCACTTCCAGACTTGGCAGATTGAAGTATTTTTAGGTATTGAGGTTGCTCAATCTAAATTAGGAATTGTTATTTCTCAACGCAAGTATGCCTTAGATATTCTTGAGGAGACAGGAATGTTGAAATATAGACCTATTGACACTCCTATGGATCCGAATGTCGAACTCCTCCACGGACAAGGGGAGCCACTTAAGTAATTTCGACATCTCTTTCGGTGTGAGTGTTGTTAGTTAGTTTATGACTTCCCCTTGTGATAGTCATTAGGAAGTAGTTGTTTGTATTCAGTGATATACAAAGTCAGTTCCCGGTAAAGGACTACTCTTTGAGGATCAAGGTCATTGGATATACAGACGCTGATTGACAGGATCACCCTATGATAGACGTTCGACATCCGGATATTGTGTTTTAGTAGGAGATAATGTGGTGTCATGGAAGAGTAAGAAACAAAGTATTGTTGCTCGATCTACAAATCAAAATATCGAGCAATGGGGGCATCAACTTGTGAGCTAGTCTGGATCAAACAATTGCTAGGAGAACTAAGCAAAATTGATCAGATGGAACTTGTGTGTGATAATCAATAGACTCTTCATATCGCATCAAATCCAGTGTTTCATGAAAGGACTAAGCACATTGAGATTGATTATCACTTTGTTAGAGAAAAGATACTCTCAGGAGATATTGTTACGAAATTTGTGAAATCAAATGATCAATTTGCAGATATCTTCACCAAGTCCCTCACAAATCCTCGTATTAATTGCATCTGTAACACGCTAGGTACATAGATTTGTATGCACCAGCTTAAGGGGGAGTGTTATAATAGAAATTAGTGTATACATTCCCACTTAGAATAGAAATAGGAATACGAATAAGAATAGGAATAGGAATAGGAATCCTAGTTGGAAAAGGATTCTTATATAGTATCTCCGAATAGGGTCTCAATATAACAATTTAGATACACAATTCAATAATATTTTTCTCATCTATTTCTCACTAAAACCCTACCCTCATTTCCATCCAAAACCACAGCCCAAAAATTCCCCGAACTTGAAGTATCTCTCTCGCACCCAACTAGTCCAGTTCCTGCCATCCTCAAGAAGGGCTAACGGTGTTACGTCAACTCCATGGATATCATTAGAGCCAATAGTTGAACCCAAAATCAACTAAAGAGTGGTATAATTATGAAAATCAGCTCCTTCCCCCATAGAAAAGTTTACATGGAGATATTGCAAGTCCCTGACCATTACCTAGTCCAAAGATACTGATTTTTAGAACAAAAGGCATCATCTGGCTTTTTCGATGTTGCCCAGAGACTTTTCTGGTTGACAGCATGGCTGCCAGAGCATTTCCATCCATATTACTTTTCTGGTGCTGGCATCTTCCTCCTAGGTCCAAGTTGTCCATGGTAAAGCTTTCAAAAAAGACATCTCCCTCTTCCTAGATTCTACAGAAAAGTAGGAGCATCTCTCTAGAAGCCATATTTATAATCTCAATTAGGGGTCATCTGGTAAGGTGTATAAGAATCACGATGATTTGAGTGTATTAGTAATGCATGCATTAGTAATGCTTTCATTAGTTATGTTGAGATTATTTCTTGTACATTGCGATGGTGTATTAAAAAAATGTATTGCATAACTAGTATGAAAATATTTATTTACAAAAACACCCTCCACTCTCTTTAGCTTTGGAATGAGAAATGCCTTGAGAGGTATTTGAGGGGCGTTACGCCATTAATCGATCTACTTCATGTGTTAAAACCTTTGTATTACTAATACATGGAAATCCATGGTATTAGTAATACACACCTCAATACCCAATAGAGTATAACTAATACATAGGCTAAAAAAGAGTACCAAGTACTAACAATACATAAAGCTAATGCATGCATTATTTTTTTTCAAACGCTACCAAATGACCATAGTGTTTAAGACTATGGCTGCATACCTTCACATTATCATATATTTGTATGAAAATGATGAACTCAGCTTCTCTAGACCTATACTAGATGAGTACCAATTACTAAATTCTATTAATAAATAACCGGATTTTAAGTAATTAATCCATCAAAGGTAAGCACATACCGACAATTCTTTGGAAAAATTTTCCACTATAACAACAGCTTGTGTTCTATGAACCTTTACTTGGAAGCTTGATCGCAGCAAAAATATAGTCACTGGTTCCCAGTTCTCAGAAGAGTCGACCTGTTAAGAAAAACCAAAGAAATAGAAGAGATTTTCCTGAGAAATCTCACATCATATTGACAACCATGATGTCTAAGCAAATAATAACATAGTTGACTCAAAATAAAACACTAAACAACACATACATGAATTCCATCCTAACGAAACATTTTATGAATTCAAGTATATCAAAAAAGTCCAAATCATGTTATGCAATTTTATGATATCTTATTCAACCCCTTTAAAAAATCTCCAATTTTTCTATATCCCTGTAACCAACATAATGGCTAATGGAGAAACAATCCACGCTCGTGGACTCCTCTTCTGCGATCTGAGAGCCCAACTTTGAAAAGCGCCTCCTTCAGTGTGCCGGCATTACAATTATACTCCAATCAGTTAAGGGCCAGAAACCACAATTAAGTAGCCACTTTACAATGCAATAGGATATGATTAACATCTCCGCTTGAACATCTGCCCATGAAGAACCAACTAATATAGGTGATCCTCCGATTCCATAGATTTTCGATGGCCAAAATCACTCCCATAGTTGCCAACCACACAAAGAAATGCACCTTCCTAGACACCCTGGAGACCCAATAGAGCAATGAGAAAAAGAAGATTCCGCCCTCCCTAGTAACTTTGGCAATTGGGTTTGATAGTGAACAATTCATCCCTACTAACGACCAGGCTCTGAAGTTCTCCCATCTCCCAATCCCAAATGGACTTCCCCTTAATGATACCTCCAATTGGACTATCAATTCCTTTTGGATGAGTGATGCGACTTTGTATAAATGGGAAAAGTTTTTTTCAACTTGCTCTTCCCACATCATGTGTCTCCTAAAACAAATCCATCTATCATCCTCAAAGTCAAAACTAAAGTAAATATATCCCCTTAAGTCTTCTCACTGCATCTAATACTCCTCTATAAACAACATCTGTACCTATAATGGTACTGATCCTCCATTCCCTCCAAGATATCATATTCCTCTGCTATCACTTCCTTCCACGGAGCATTCTCCTCCACCCAAAGCCTCCAAAATTCACTTCCCTAATTTTGTTGAAAACTCTGAAATCTTTTTTTTAGACAAGTAGCAATTCTATTCAATAAAACCTTAACCACCCTAGAAAATGGTGCAAAGTTGGAGAATTTACATTCATCGAAAAGGTACTAAACCCCTGCCCAAAACCCTATACAATCATATATTGACAATTTAATATACTAACTCTCCTCTTCCCCCCACATATTATGTTTATACTAAAAAAGAACAAGCTAAGACAATTCATCCTAATTTTCTCGATAAAACTGCTAGTGCCTTCAAAATGTCTACCATTCCTTTCGTTCCACACTGTCCAGCAAATGCAAGCAGGAATGATCTTCCAACAATCCGCCTCCCCACCTCTATTCCCAATACTCCACCAATTGTTCAACAATACCAAAGTAGAACCAGGTATTACCCAAGTTATTCCCAAAATACAAAAGAACATGTGCCGCAGATTTAAAGTTGTTCTGCAATGTAGGAATAACTGTTCATTGTTTTCACCCTCCTGTTCATACAAAAAGCATTTTGAACAAATCTGAAGAGCTCTTCTTTGTAGCTTATCTTGAGTTAGGCAAGCTTTCCTAATCACCAACCAGACAAAGAATGACACCTTCATAGGGATATTTACTTTCAAGACTTGTTTCCAAGGCCAATTCACAAGACCTCTTTGATTCAACTACCAGTATACTTATTCCTAAGAAAGCCCCTTTACTGTTTAGTTTCCACTTGAGCCTGACAGTAGAATCTATGCATCCACCAAAAGTTCCCAATATCTGAAGCATTTTCTCTACTTCCCAGTCATTTAGAGCTCTTCTAAAGATTAGATTCCACCCTTGTTGACTCCGCATTTTGTTGATCATGTCATGTTGTTGGAAACATATAGAATAAAGAAGTGGAAACATAGACTTCAGATTTCTTAACCCAATCTAGTGATCGATCCAAAAATCAGTTGTTTTCCCATCACCCACAATAATCCACATTTTCCCAAAAGTCTTGCCATTGGTTTCTGATAGTTCTCCACACACTGCTACCACATTCCTTTGGTGAAGTAACAACTTTTCAATTTACCAGTTGAAACTTTCTTCTTCCCTCCCTAACATTTCCATGGAAGACTTTCCACCTTTATGTCACGCTATCAGGAACCTACAATAGTGACATGAAATGGTAGGTATGCTAAACAGGGTACTTTTTATTAACACTTTCTTTCCCTCCATTCAACAGATACCTCTTTTACAACCCTACTAGCCTCTTTTGATTTCTGTCAATCACTAGATTCCGCACAACAAGATCTTTGTTTGAAGCATGCAAAGGTAAACCCAAATAGGTTGTAGGTAAAGTTCCTACCTTAAAATTAAACACCAATACAAGCTCTTGAATATTATCAACTATGCCTACCAATATACTTTCACATTTCATGAGGTTAATCTTGATGCTAGAGTTAATCTGGAACCACACAAGAGTCTGCTTCAAGTACGACAGATGAGAAGCTTTCGCATCACAGAATATCAAAGTGTCATCTCAAACAAAAGATAAGTGATCGATACTACACCCTCTTAATGAGGCAGCAGAACCTGTAAAAGACCTTCAACAACCGTGTCCATCATTTTACTCAAGACTTCGATCAGCAAAATAAAAAAGCATGGAAGTGGGCCTCAATGTTCAAACCACCTCGAGCTACTGAAGTATCAGCAAGGACTACCATTTCACCATAGTAGAGAATCTAGCGATGGAAATGCACCAATTGATCCATGTACTCCACTTGTCCAAGCGTATTTATCCTATTCCGGAGCAAAGATTTAAAACCTGAATTGTGAGCCACGGGCCAAGACTCCAACTGGAAAGTCATCTTCATCATAAATAAATCAAGAAACCCTCAATTTACATGGTCGTAAATTTTCTTAAGACCCAACTTACATAAACTTACCTTTCTTCTTTAGAGAATCCACCACTTTGTTTGCCACAAGATCCGCATCCAGAATGTGTCTTCCTTCCACAAACGTGTTTTGGGAAGTGGAGACTGTCTCAACCAACACTTTAGGGATTATATCATATATTCCTTAATGTTTGTCGGACCTTCCTTATTCGGTATATGGCAATAAAGGACCCATTAAGGTTTCTCGATCTCCTTGGTTTCTTGGAATACTACAATAGTTTCCTTCAACTCTCCCTTCATTGTCCTCCAATACTGCTAGAATAAAGCTAGACGAGAGTATTGTCTTTGTCATACCCACTGGACTACTTTATTGATAGAACTTAATTTGGAGTAGAATGTATCATTCGCAATGGCATCTAGAGGAGAATTTTGTTGTGCTCACATAACTAGGAGAATTTTCTATTTGGATGATGATGTCCACGTGTTTTATAAGGTTTTTTTTTATAAGATAAGTGGTATTAATAACAGCATCAAGAAGATGCAAGATTTACAAGACATGGCATTTGAGCTTACAAAAAAATCCCTGGCTAACTATACAAACTATTTAAGCCAATACTAATGAGTTAGTAAGATCCTGAAGTTGTTCTGCATTAACACAGCGGGATACAAGTTGGACCAACTAAACAAATTTGCAATGCACCTAGTCTTCAAAATGCCTAAGGCAGTTGACTCTCCACCAAACCATCTCTTGTTCCTCTCCAACCAAATACACCAAAAAATACAAGCATGTATCATAATCCAAATCTTCTTGATGGCTTTGTCAACTGTCCATAGACTCCAACTCTCATATGCATCCTTTACTGTTAGGGTTGTGGTCCAATTGATGCTAGAGAGACAAAAAAGCATACTCCATAATTTGGAGGCCACCTCACAATGATGAAGAAGATGTCTCGAGGTTTCAGCCTCTTTTTCGCACATACAGCATTTGTTTGGGAACTGGATTTTTCTTTTCTTTATGTTGTCTTGGGTGAGACATGCCTCAGATAGAGTTGTCCAGGCAAGAGAAACTACCTAAGGTGGTAGCTTGGTCCTCCAAATGAGTTTACATGGTCAGTTATCTATCACGGGGTTTCTGTTAGAATAGGAATAAGTATTTCTTACTTAGAATAGGAATTAGAATAGGAATAAGAATAGGAATTCTAGTTGGATAAGGTCTCCAATGTAGTGTCTATAAATAGGTCTTCATGTAACAATTTAGATGTGCAATTCAATAATATTTTCTCCAATATTTCTCACATGGTATCAGAGCAACTGTGAGAAAAAATAATTAAAAAATAATATTTTCCGGTAACGTAGTTGCTGTCCGGATAATTATTATTTTCCGTCACTATTTTCATAAAATTGACGCCACCACTAGCTGCGGAATTTCCCGACGAGCAAAGCCCAATCATCCCCACCAGAAACCAGTGCTACACGGGCCGCCGATAGGATTTTTGAAGGCGAACTGTCAGACCCATGCGCCGGCTCGTGTGACTTTTTCCGACCAGGCTTTTCAACAATTTTTTATCTATCTGAGTCGCCTCTTCATTCCGAGGCTGACTATGTAACTTTTTTTTCTGATTCCGACCAAATTTGATCGCCAGAATTAGGGTTCCGACTACTTTCAGGCTATTTCCGGCAATTTTTTTTCGAGATTTGAATTTTCCGACATTCAGATCTCAATAATCAAGATTTTTTGGTTGTTCCCAAGAAAAATTTAGCATAATGTCTTTTGTATGTGATGTTTTTGGTTCTAAAAATATAGGGATCGGAAATTCTAGCCCTATAATCACTTCAGAACTTCTATTGGGAAGTTCAAGCTATTTATCTTGGGCTTCATCAGTTGAATTGTGGTGCAAGGGTCAAGGTGTGAACGATCACTTAACGAACAAGACTTATGTGGTAGATGTAAAGGCTAAGACTTGTGAGGAAGATGCAAAAGTCAAAGCACATTGGGAGAAAGTAGATGCTCAATTATGTAGTCTCCTATGGCGTTCGATTGATTCCAAATTGATGCCCTTGTTTCACCCATTCCAAACATCTTATACAGTTTGGGAAAAGGCACGTGC